CAGTTTGGCTCAGTGGTTAGAGTGCTGGCATCAGGCTGAAGGGTCCTGGGTTCGATTCCGTGCAAGGGCGCATACCTCGTTTGCAGGCTCGACACCCAGCCCCAGTTGGGATGGGTGCGGGAGGCAACCAATCAATGTGTCTCTCTCACATGGATGTTTCTCTCTCTGTCTCTCTCTTTCTTCCACTAGCCAATTTTACATACACTATTTTACTTATATTGCAACATTTGACCAAAGTCTTCAAGATGGTGAGGGAGACAGAGGTGAGAATATCTCTGGGGGTTTTGCCTTTATGGACACCACCAGGTTCTCACCGTAAAGAGCTGAAAAGAAGCCCTCCTAGCTCTGCTGGAGGGAGGGGAAGAACAAACCTTTTGAAATACAGTAGTCCCCCTTATCCGCGGATATGTTCCAAGACCCCAGTGGATGTCTGAAACCATGGACAGTGCCAAACCCTGTATAGTCTTGTGTCACTTAACAGCAAGATACATTGTGAGAAATGCATCATTAGGCAATTTTGACCTGTTTGAAGATCATAAAGAGCACTTACACAAACCTAGATATACTTTTATATGACTGGCAGTGCAGTATGTCTGTTTATACTAGGATACCATCAGTTTACACCAGTTTACACCAGCACCACTAACATGAGTAATGTCTTGCACTAGGACTTAATAACAGCTACTACCTCTCTAGGCAATAGGAATGTTTCAGCTCCAATATAATCTTTTAAGATCACTGTCCTATACGTAGTCTGTCGTTTACAGAAATGTCATTATGTGGTAGATGACTACATATGATATGTTTTTTCCTATACTACGTATCTATGATAAAGTTTAATTTATAAATTAATCACAGTAAGAGATTAACAATTATAACAATATATTATAATAAAAATTGTGAATGTGGTCTCTCTCTTCCTCTCTCTCTCTCTGCTTATTGGGAGGAAACCAGAGTATCCAGAGAAAAACCCACGTAGACATGGGGAGGACATGCAAATTCCACACAGACAGTGGCCCAGCCAAGAATTAATTTTTTTTCTCATCAATGTTATAACCAAATGACACTACTCAAGGACAGCATGGACACAGTGGACAGGGATGACTCACGCTGCACCCGGGATGGAGCAGACAGCACGAGATGCCATCACGCTACTCGGAATGGCAAGCAGTTTAAAACTTAAGATTGTTTATCTCTGGAGTTTTCTATATAATATTCTCAGACCAAGGTGAACCGTGGGTAACTGAACGCATGTTAGGCAAACCCTAGGATAAGGGGGGATTACTGTATACCCTTATCTTTCTCCATAACAAAGGTCTACTCTGCAGGGGAAAGACCTTACCAAAGCCTTGAGCTGTGGGCCAAGGGCATTCCTCTCAGACCAGACCCATCTAGCCTTTCCCTCTTTTTTTTTTTTTTTTTAAATATATCTTTATTGATTTCAGAGGGAGGAAAGGAGAGGGAGAGAGAGAGAGAGAAACATCAATGATGAGACAGTCATTGATCGAGCCCACAACCTGGCATGTGCCCTGACCGGGAATTGAGCCCTGATCGCCTGGATCCTAGGTTGACGCTCAACCGCTGAGCCACGCCCGGCTGGGCTAGCCTTTCCCTCTCAACCAGAATGGGGGACAGGGAAAACTAATAAACACACAGGAAGTTCATGGTCCAGAGACACTAAAATTTAACTATAAAAACAATACNAATAAACACACAGGAAGTTCATGGTCCAGAGACACTAAAATTTAACTATAAAAACACGCCCCCCCATTTCCCAACATTATCAACAGGGCTCCAGTATAATAATGGGGAATTACAGTGGAAAGAGATGCAAAACACAGGCTCAGTTCTTAGAGAACGGTGGGAGAAAGAACAAAGACACCAGGAAAATGTGATGCCCCTGGCACCTATTACTACAGTAATCCTTAAACATAGCCCAACTCCCAGCCAGACTGACATTAAACCTCACACTAAGCCTATTACCTCAGTTCCTCTTACCCAATTCATCACGTCATTTTAAATAGAACATTAGATGGCATGCTAGAATACAAAAAAATAGAAGCAGGGGGATCAGGTCACACGCTTTCAGTACTAACCTGATGAAAGATGAAGTTGGCTTGGGCCATGGTGGTGGCAATGGAAGTGGTAAGAAGTGGTCAAGGTCTGGATGTATTTTTGAAAATAACAGAGATGACTGGCTAATGAAATGGCTGTAGGATGTGAAAGAAAAAGTGGAGGTGTGGATGACTCCAAAGTGTCAACCAGAGCTACAGGGAAAATGAAGCCGCCATCGACTGAGATAGTAAAGGCTTCAGGTAAAGCGGTTGGCTGGAGTACAGGGGTTTAGGAATTCAATTTTTGATGTTTCAAATGATTTATAAAACTGGTCAGTTGTATATTCATTTAACTAATAATATTTGGAGTGCTTTAATACTATATCACTTGTTAGGAAAAAGACATAAAAATATATTGGAAACCAAGGAAAAATGCTTAATTATTTTAGAGTGAGCAGATAAACAAATGACCAAACCTTTTAACCATGTCACCAAAATAACTTCATCAGAATCATAATCACAACTGTCAGCAGTGATAGAAAGTAAGGCAGGAAAACATCTAGGAGTTTATGAGATGCTCCCGCCAAATCCAGGAGAGAGACTGTTACGTACACTCTGGCATCTGCGTACCCGACCTCCTCTTCTTTCACAGTAAGAAAATCTGCCTGGGCACTTGGCTTCCCAGAATAAAGATACCATTTTCCAGCCTTCCTTGCAGCTAGGTGTGGCCACGAGTCTGTGAGCGAACGTGGGTGTGGAATTTCTGAGCTATGCTCTTACAGAGAAGGGGTATGCCCACCATTTGCCCTTTCTCTCCCTCTTCCTGATAGCTGAAGTGCTGATGTGATAATGAGCCATCTTGGACCATGTGGACAGGGTGACACTACTGAGATGGCAAGGGAACAAAAGGGCAGGGGCTCGGATGCCGAAAACCCATGGCGCCATCTTATCAGTGTCGGGCTACACATACTTAGATTGTTACACGGAAGAATAACACTTCTATCTTATTTAAGCCACTGTTGTTCATGGCTCTTTGTTACTGTAGCTTAAAACTTCACCAATAAATTTAATAAATCCTCAGAACAATACTGTGATGCAAATAATGTGCTGAGGTTATTTTTCTTTTAATTTCTTATTATGTATCTGTTTTAAACAGCAGGAAAATAAACTGATAACACAGTCTTGTTTTAGATACTTACATCTACCAGTGAAGAAAAACTAATTGAAAAGCTCTGTGAGAACTGATTAGAACAATTTTTACAGCAAGATTTAGGTTCAGGCATCCAATACACTGTGTAGTACTTACTACCTAAAAAAGACACATGGTGAACATTTTTCCATGAGAATATGCTATGTACTAGCTCAATTTTAAAGTTTCTAGTCCCATTAAAACCCCTGCAATCTATTAAGCATTATAAGTACCCACAAATAGTTCCTTGGCTTAAATAAATGTGTAGTTGCTCCCTGAATTCTTGACTAAATTGGTAATCAGATAAGGATGCCAGAGTTGCTTCTGGTGTGTCCAGATCAGCGATTTTCAACTGGTGTGCTGCCAGAATATTTAAAACATGCAATACCTGACTATTTAGTCAGGGGCACTGACCTCTTTTCCCTTAGACTGTCAAATGAAAAAATAACAACTGTCAACAACAATAGCCATCCTGTGTGAAGGAATCAAAATTACCTATGATTTCTTTGTCAGATGGGGAAAAAATATATTTTTTGGTGTGCCTCAGAATTTCAGTAATTAGTTTAGGCACGCCATGAAATGAAGAAGACTGAAAATTGCTGGTCTAGATATCTGTATATATATCCTGATAAACAGGAGGTCCCCAAAAAATGTACACACATTTTAATAGCTGATAGCTCAATTGACGTTTCTTTTCAGACTTAACCCAAAGTGTGTATACATTTATCAGCAGGCCATTCCCTACAACTGGAACAGTTTTGTACTTTCAGTATTTAAATACTGGTACAGAATTGTGTTGGAAAAAATAGAAAAAGACCAGTTCAAATGCTATGCAAGTAAACCTACTTTAAAGGATACAAACTAAAAAATGGTTTATGGAGAACAAGATGATTTGGCACTATTTATTATGATATATTCCTGCACTTAAAATGTAAATTTATTTTCATGCAATTGCTCTCAAGCTTCCATCACCATTTAACTGCCTAAACCAGAGAAATCCATTGTAACAGCTTTTGACTTTTCATTTATGCTTTAAAGGAGACTAGTTTTTACTCTAGCTATAGATTCTGAGATTTGCCAAAGTAACTTTCTAAATCAAAAACATGATCAATAAAAAATATGATCAATCTTCTCATAGTACAGTGAAAAGTTTACTCCCCCAAGTGACTTAAGAACTCAAATAAGAATGTGCTAACTACTTGGCAACACCCCAATTATTCAGCCTCTGCAAAGCTAAGGGTGACTCACACTTTTATGCGTACACACTGACACCTAGGGACACAATTCCAAGATTCAGAGGTAGACTTACCTCCAAATCTGTTAAATATGTCAGTGTCATTCTTGTGGTATTTCCTCAGGTGATGCTTAGAAACAGAAGAAGCTAAAGTATACTTAAGTGTTTTAACCTGACTTTTATTATGTGATGAAAAGAGATGATGTCCCTATCAGTATTTTAAAATGTGGAAACCAAGCATTTTTCTAAACTATTATGATAGTCAATATTTTTACATAACAGGAATTCTAATTCCTCTGGACAAATGTAGCCAAGAACATGGGAAAATACTTCCCTATTCCAAATATGGAATACTGATATACCTCTATATTGCACTGCTCATCTCCTAAAAAAGAAAAAAAGATACAGGTATTGCATAAAAGGACCTCTTCATCCTTAAGAATGTGTTTTAAGGCAAGAAGCAAAGGCATAAAAAGGCAGAAAGGGTAAACTGTCTAGGCAAAAGCATAAAATAAAGTATTACCTTTAGCTGGGTTTACTTTTATCCCTGACCTATACAGCATTTCCTCATTCTGCCAGTCTCCATTCCTGATTGCAGTCTTGAGTCCATAGAAAACAATTAATGTAGCTGTAGCATAAAAAATCAAGCTCTTGAGAAACCGCTTTTGGACTTTGACATAAAGGGCTCTGGCACCCACTGTAATGAGGAGGCAGAAGCCCATACTAGGAATATACAACACTCGCTCTGCGATTACAAAGCCGACATAGAAAAACAGGTTCGTGGCAGGAACAAAGGGTATTATTAACAAAGATAAAGACAGAACAACAATGTTCTCCGTAGAAGGAAGTTGTGTTCTCTGTGATACATTATTTTTAATGCCATTTTCTACTTTGGATGAAAAGCTGGGCTTAATCTCTGAGTTCCGGTACTCCACATCCGAATGGCAGCTATGTCCATTTGCATTCTGCTTGCCGTTTGTTACAAATTTCCCATCACAATCTCTTTCCATGCTCGGGCTCTTTAAACCGCAGTAGGCAAGGAGGAGGAGTCCGACGTAGAAGGCCACAGTGTGTAAGTTTCTCCAGTCACAGATTGTTTTGAGCAGAGGCACAGCATCCATTGACCAATCAAAACTGAGGGTATCCGGGCAGAGCAACAGCCAGAGGTTCTTGGTTGGCAAGTAGAAGAAGGTGAGCGTGCGAGCCAGGAGACTATCAGAATCGGCAGCTGGGTTGTCGGAGTTGGAAAAGCTTGGTGGCTTGTTTCCCATCCAGTATAAACGGGCGCCCAAAAGGGAAGTCCCCCAGAGAGTTAACAAACTAACGCTGAGGAAAAGAGACAAATTCTTCCCCTGAAACCAAAAGAAGAGGGGGAAAAATTAAGATAATCATCAATACAGCATGGTGACACCTCACTTAACCTTTAGAGATGAAATACATTTTTAAATGGACAGTTAAAAACACAACATTATGTCTCAAATGTATGACTTCATTTCCATCTCCTTTTATACATGTTTAGGGAAATTTAAGCCTAAAATAATTGACTGTGGCATCTTACTTTGTATATAACTTGATGAGTATCTTTTCTCAAAGTACCAATAACCAAAGCTTCAATTTTTAGACCTCTACAAAATGGGTTGTTTATACATATGTCCTTTTTGGAATGAGACCACAATGTGAAAGTACTTAGCATTCTGTACGGGACATAGTAGGCACCTGAGAACTGAGTTATTTCACTTTATAACTTAGATTCTGGGGGAAAACAAAGAGCAGTCATGACAGAAAATATGGGGTATAGCAGGATTCCGCTCAGCTTGAAAGTAGGAATAGCATTGAGCTATGTCTCTGCCAGTCCCAATTTCATTGTCTTGCATCTCCTTGCAGAATTTATAAACCAGGCTTTCATCTGCTACCCCCTACAGCCACTGACACCAGTGACATCAACCATTTAATAGCACTCCTCATGAATGTGAAGTTTTTTCATGTTGATGACAACTTCTTAAAAACAAAATGACTTTAAAACAGGCTTATTTTAAGAGAAAGAAAATTGTAAGTAGGCAGCAAAAGAACATCCTTGTTAATGAGAATGTTCTAGCAAACTCTTCCAACCTGAGTAAGAATTTAGTGACCTCAAACAATCTAAGTCCTGAAAACGCAGTCTGGGAGAGGGAGAGATGGACACCACATCCCAACCTTAATGAATCACTGGTAATGCGATCTCAATGCACACATTCTTGCCTTGCATAAAACTTTCTTACTCAATGGTATTCAGAATAGTACTTGGAAACTTACAATGGATATAACAAATATTTAGTTTAAAAAACAATCCATGACAGGCAACAAAAGCAAAATTAAACAAGTAGGATTATGTTAAACTAAAAAGCTTCTGCAAAGGGAACCATCCACAAAATGAAAGGTAATTCATGGAATGAAGAAAGCATTTGCAATCATATGTTAATATCCAAAATATATACATAACTCATACAACTCAAAAGAAAAAACAAATACAATTACAAATCAAATCAAAACCACAACCAGATATCACCCCGCACATTTCATAATGGCTGTTATCAAAAAGACAAGAAATAACAGGCGCTGGCGAGGATGTGGAGAAAAGGGAAACCTTGTGTACAGCTGGTGAGAATGAAAACTGGTGCATCCACTATGGAAAATAGCACGAAGTTCTTCATTAAAATAAAAACAGAATTACTATATGATCCAGCAATTCCACTTCTGCGTATTTATCTAAAGAAAATGAAGTTACTATCTAGAATAGATATCTGCACCTCATGTTTACTGCAGCATTATTTACAACAGCCAAAACATGAAAGCATCCCAAGTGTAGATCGACAGATGACTGATAAATATATCAATCTCTCAAATGGAATATTACTGAGATATAAAAATAAAGAAGCCCTGCCATTTGCAACAACATGGATAGACTTCATGGGCATCATACTAAGGAATCAGTCAGATAGAAAGAAAAATACTGCATTATCTCACTTACAGGCAGAATCTTTAAAAAAAACCAACACAAACTCACACAGAGAACAGATTGGTGGTTGTCAGAGATGGGGGGGGGGGAAAGGGGGCAAATGGGTGAAGGTGGTCAAAAGGTACAAATTTCCAGTTATAAGACAAATAAGTCCTGGGGATATAATGTATAGTGTAGTGACTACAGTTAACAACAGTGTATTGTATATTTAAAAGTTGATAACAGAGCAGACTTTAAAAGTTCTCATCACAAGAAAAAATAAATTTTTTGTAACTGTGCTAACAAAACTAAATTTACTATGGTAATCATTTCACAATATATACATATATCAAATTATTATTTTGTACACCTAAAACTAATATAATGTCATATGTCAATTATATGTGAATTATAAAAACAATCCACAAAGTGCAATATATCTTGAGCATGTACAACTTCTATTGTAACCACCTCTACATGATATACAACTGCTACTACACTGTCCTTCTCAGACTCTTCTCATCCACCAATCTCTAATTGTAGGCAGCACACAACTGGTCATAGCCCATCTGCTCCATCTCCACTCTAAACTTACTGATCTCAGCAAGATTCCTGATTTTAAAAAGTATTAATATTTCCTAATAACTGCACCTGCATCTCCCTTCACCTCCACAGTCCTTTATTCAATTGTCTGTTGAGCATATTCACTTAGGTACAACTAAAAATGTCCAATATACAACCTGACTTCTGTCTTCTCCAATGAAACAGTTCCTCCTCCCATCATTACACCTGAGATAACAGTAATACTATGTAAGCTGTTCCTTCTTCACATTCTCTCTTTCCCTCCACATTCCATGCATGACAACAAGTCCTCTAACTCCCACTTCAAAATATATCCCAGTCTGTCATTTCTCTCCATCTCTTCTGACATCATTCTAGTTCAAAATGCCAAAGCTTGGACTGTCATAATAGTCTCTTTCTAACTGGTACCCTAACCCCTTTCTAACACAGATGATAGCGTCCCCAAATTTTAAAATCATTAATGGGAGCTTACTCGAAGATCTTGAAAGTTTTTATCTCTACCAAACAAAAAGTTTATAATTCATGGAGCAGTTTTCTTGATAATATGTCCACTTTTACATTTCAAAGTATTTTTAAAAATATTTTAAATATTTAAAGAGGGGTAATACTGGGTATAAAAGAAAAGAAGTAACGGTAGAGGAGGTCAGAAGTTAAAATTTTAGAATAAGAAAAATGAGAAACAGCAAACAAATGGAAATTATGAACAATTTTAAGAGGTGGGATTATTCATTAATATCAAGCCACAGTAATGCTAAATTCACAGAATTAACTGGCTCAGTGTTTTAGAGACATCTGTGGCAGACCTCTGCTCAAAATTAATTTTTTTTTGTAATGCTATTTTGAATTTCTAATGGCAGGAAGAGTAATATGTTCAGTCATCTCCAATCTTTAACTTTCAGGTTTCTCCTAGAAAAATGAAATGACTCAAAGCCTCTTTATCATCTAAAAATAACTTTTGCAAACCATTACCTTCGCTCCTCTGAAATTCAATCCAGCAAAAATCTTAAAATTTCTGGATTATAGGAGAAAAATTAAATCACACACAACCAAATGTTAAAAGCTGTAATCACTTCATGGATCAGTCACATAATAGAGAGGGTTTAGATTACAGAAGGGAGAAACCTATCATTTGGCAAAAATAAATGAGAAAAGATATCACGGATAAAGAAAACCGAACTTGAAAAATTATTCAGTTTTGAATTTGTACCAAAAGTCCATTTTCAAAGTGTAAGTAAAGGCCATTCTACTACAATATTTTCTGGTGGGACTGAGCGGAGAGAATGAAAGGGAGAAGGAATTACAAAAACAGCTGCAGCACTGGGCAGTGTTTCCCAGTAGTCAGAGTGCCGGCCCTCACACTGGAGGGTCTCGGGTTCAATGCCTGATCAATGGCAGGGATCTGGGTTGCAGGTTCAATCTCCAGCCCCAGTTCCCGGTGCATGTTGGAGGCAACTGATTGATGTCTCACATTGATGTTTCTCTCTCCCCCCTTCCCTCCTTTCCTTCCACTCTCTCTAAAACTCAATGGAAAAAATATCCTCCAGTGAGGATTAACAAAAACAAACAAGCAACAACAACCAAAAAAAACAGCTGCTATCGCACAAAAAGAAAAGAAAAGCAGTAAGAGAACTACATAGGGAGGAAAATACAATCAGGTATGTTTACTAGTTGTGAAACTCCGGGGTAATTTGGCTTTGATAATTACATAATTCTATTTTATTTCTAAAAATAGGCTGGTGTTGCTCAATGGTTAGAGCATGGGCCTGCGCAGTGAAGGGTAGCAGGTTGGATTCCCCGTCAAGGGCATCTACCTGGGTTGCAGGTTCAGTCCCCAGCCCTAGTCAGGGCATATGTGGGAGGCAACCAATTGACGTCTCTCTCACATTGATATTTCTCTCTCTCTCTCTCTCTCTCTCTCTCTCTCTCTCTCTCTCTCTCTCTCCCCCTTCCTCCCTCCCTCCCTCCCTCCCTCCTACTCTCTCTAAAAAATACCCTCAGGTGAGGATTAATTAGAAAAAAAAAGATATGAGCTGGGAAAGGCAGCTGGGCTTGGAAGGAATGTGTAAGACGTGACAAACTGAAAACAGACAATGCATGTGGCAGGCCCCTATGTGAGCAGGAAAGATTCGGAGCCCCTCCAGGATGTGACCTAACAGTGGCATAACAGCCGGGTGAAGGAGTCTTATAATTTGAAGATATATTTCCTGAGACATGAGAGAGGGAGTGGCCTACTCCTTGCCTAGGGGCATTCCAGACTAGGAGTATAAATCCTCTAAACTCCCAAATATCGGGGAGATTGGTTTGCTTTTGGCCAGCTAGGTTGCCTGTTCAGGTTCTATCTGAGTGTATTTCTTTCCTACAAATAAATTTTTGCCTGCTTTTGCTGCTACTTGTTGTCTCTTGTTTGAATTCATTCCTACAAGCAAGACAAGAACTCGGGGCACAAAGTACTGTCTCTGGCCAGGGGCTATCTTGGGCCAGAGACCATCCCAACCACCAGTGACAGCTCCATCCCTCTCCATGAAAAGTGCATATAAAGGCAATGACAATGTTCTGGAGGAATATTTTCCTGACTACAACTTCATTACAAAAGTAGAATTAGAAATGGAAAAATTATTGCATCCCTAAAAAAAATCTTATCAGATATATTTCATGTCAATTATTGAGTGGGCCAGGTTCATGTTTTAATTCACTATTCATTTACAAAGTATCATAAATAAATATAGATTTAAATCTGCTTTATAAAAATCTCATTTTTCTAAATGTTTATGCTTTTCATCTTTTTAAAAGTTCTTT